AAACTGCAAAATTTAATAGTTTGACATCTGTTGGTCCTGAAATTTTAATATTTTTTTTTCCGGATATATCAATTCAACTCAAATTGCGTATGGTTAACGTAATCAAAAATGGGAGATAAAATTTTTTGGGAAAGCAGTTCACAATTCGCGATTCAAAAGTAACTGCATTTTAGAACGCAGTTGTAATTAAAAACAACATGGGTTATGGGGCCTGAATTTTCGAGGAAGGGTACTAGAGTTCGTTTCCACTTCTATGAAAAATTATTGGTACCCTCTCTAGTTTCAGATATGGCCCTCTAGAATTTTTAGCCCTACTATATAATACTTTAATAAAAATGGGCTGGGGACATCCCAAAACCCCTAACTAGAGATTTTGGTAATATCACCATTTTTTCATAGAAGTATAACTGACCCATATACCCCCCCCTCAAAATTTCAACCCCCTAACTTATGTTAAAATTTTGAATTGCGAACTGCGTTCTAGAACTTTAAAAAAACTTCAAAAATGTTGGTATTGTTTAAAGCATATATATAAATATATATACATCTATTAAAAGAGTGGATTGGGGAAAATTTGATCTTTTAAAAAAAAAAATCCGTGAAGAGACATAAACTGGGCCCCTGGGAAAGTCCAAAGGTTGGAAAACAGATGCCTAGGAGGGTTTATCCCGTCTAGCTGTTACATCCGCCGTGAGACCTGTGTACCGATCAGAGGAGTAATTATCCCATGTTGCTGTTAACCGCCGTGAGACCTGTGTACCGATCGGGGGAAATTTCTAGCTGTTACATCCGCCGTGGGTGTACCATCAAAATAATTATCCCCTGTCTAGCTGTTACATCCGCCATGGGACCTGTGTACCATCGGGGGGTAAATTTCCCCTCTAGCTGTTACATCCGCCCTGGGACCTGTGTACCATCAGAGGAGTAATTATCCCCTGTCTATTTACATCCGCCCTGGGACCTGTGTACCGATCAGAGGAGTAATTATCCCTGTTAGCTGTTAATCCCCCGTGAGATCTGTGTACCTATCAGAGGAGTAATTATCCCCGTTCTGTTACATCCGCCGTGGGCCTTTTCCATCAGAGGATTATTATCCCGTCTGCTTTACATCCGCCGTGGGACCTGTGTACCATCAGGCATGAGAAGGAATTATTTGACTTCCTACGCAGTAACACTTGTTGCAAATAGAACACGAAAGGGCTTTTAGAGAAGAGTTTTAAAAGTTAACTAGCTGTTAATTAAAGAATTTTTTTGGGTTTTTTTTTTACTTGTTTTAAAGAGCCCCGAAATTTTTTACTTAAACGAGACGCCACCACTTCAAAAAGAATTCAGCAATTTTGTTAAGGCTTCAGGGGGAAGCGGGGAAGGGATTTTTTTATGGGGTTCGGTTTAAAACGGTCTTCTGATTTTAGAAATTGTACATACGTAGAGCATGCTCTTGCGTACCTGAGATATATAAACTCCGTATGCAGGTGATGAAGGGGCCCGCATAAGTATGGAAAGTTGACAATTGAAAAGTCATCATGTTTATCAAGCTTTGGGGTTAGATTACCATTAACGTCTTTTTCAGGTAAAATATCCAAATATGAAACAGATTTTCCAGACGCTGTGGTATCCTTTGTCTCGAGTTGGGATATCGTATCGACATAAGAATGGAAATAACTATTGTTAATTGAATATATATCGATATATATAAATGCCGAGTTGAAGGCTACAGAAAGTGTTTTATTTTTTTCATGTTAAATTTAAAAACCTGCCTATATAAAAACAAAAATAGGCTGTTAATAATAGGGCGCCATTGAATCCATGGGTTCCAATGAATGTTGGAAGCCTGGTCTTCAAAAGCCAAATAGATACTGTCTATCAGAAACTCAAGCATTTTTAAATGTCAACTTCAGAGTACATATGTGTTAAACAGAATATTTTTTTAAAAAAATCATTTTGCAAATGACCAATGACAAGGTAAGTAAATGTACAGGGGGGGAAAAAGTTCGCGGACAAGTTCTTTGTGAGCGCGCTATTTCCACAAAACCGGGAAACTTTTAAGATAAAATCTTTACCTTTTTTTCCCAAAAAATATACAAGAATTTTGTGCTCTTTGTGATTATCGAAAAATATACAGCATTTTTATTTTGATAAAACTTGCCTAATGGAGCATGCTACATTTTGGCATTTACATCACAAAGCTATTTATTAAAATTAAAAATTGCACAATTGTTTCTCAAAGAGATTTATGATATTTTACCTGCTACTACAGAATACAGGAAACGTCACTGGGAGAAATTTTGAACTAAATTGGATGGTATATGACTGATTTATAGCCTTTTTTAAAAAGATCAACCGTAAAAAGACAGAAAAAACGGAACGTCATTGAGCGTCAGGAGCATGACTACGTAAAAATTATGTGTGCAGATAGGAAAATAACTAAAAAAAGATTAAAATGTTCAAGATGCTGCCAGGAATTTCCTTCACATACAAAGAACAAGTTTTTAAATGGTTATAGCTTCATAAAATGGAAGGAGGGACATTTTTAATGATTAACTCCATCATTTTCAAAACCCCCCTTTTCCGAACGTTGCGTTGCGCCTATATGGTTTTGCATAGTTTCCATACCTGATTGATTAACTGCATAGACGTTTTTTTTTAAATTTTTTTAAGATCTCAATAATATACGAATCGACGAAAACATTATGAGAAAAGTATCATGTCTTGATATAGATATTCAATTTTAAAGTAGAAAAAAAATACGAAAAATCTAAGAAATGAAAGAGTTATAAATATAACCGACAAAGCTTAACGGCTTGAAATCTTTTCACGTCGCTTACGTCAAATGATTGCTCCGTGAATCCCATGACCCCCTAGTAAAAATAGTTGTAAAATTTCAAGATTTTAAAATATGGACCTGATTTTTTTCATACCAATAAATACTAGGGCTAATTGTAACGGGAACCCTTTCAGATGTCCCCCAAAAGCTCCCCAACTCCCTTTTGTGGCATATTCTCTGTACGCTTCATTAAATAAGACAAACACATGCTTTTTTTTTTAACATTATTTACCCAGAAGTATATCAAGTTTATTCAAATTACAGCATTGCACGCATGCGCATTTGAATGCATGTGCGTAATGACCATATCATTTTCCCTTTTGTATATTTTAATATACTTTTTAAAAATTTATTCCATACGTATTTAAAAATTTTTAATCCAGTGTATTTGTAATTTTCTCATTTCACGTGCACGCACGTGCATGCAGTCATCATGATCATACACAATTGTAGGAGCCCATAATGTCTATCTGTGTTTGAATCCCATCCTTTTTGGTTGAAAAATAAGGGAATTATAGCCATTTAAAGTTTCAGCCAATCAAATTGCAGCGAACGTGCATGCGCGTGATTTCATGAAAATTATTATCTATCATATTGTAGGACATCCTAAAGCATGCCTATGATTTAAATTTCAAAGCATTTCTTCAAAAAACAATAAAGATATTGAAAATTTTGTTTCCACGTTCATGCACGTGCATGCATGTGCATGATGACCATACCCTTTTGTAGGAGTTCATAATGTCTATCTATGTTCTGAATCCCATCCTGTTTGGTTTAAAAACAAGGGAGTTATCGCTATTTAAAGTTTTAGCCAATCAGATTGCAGCGCACGTGCATGCGCGTGCTTTCATGACAATTGTTATATATCATTTTGTAGGACATCCTAAAGTATGCCTATGTTTTAAATTTCAAAGCATTTCGTCAAAAAACAGAAAAGATATTGAGATTTTTGTTTCAGCCAATCAGAGTGAAGCGCACGTGCATGCGCGTGAGTTCGTGCTAATTTGACAGTGTCACATTATCTACACTATTAATATATCATTATATAATGAGTTTCAAGTCAATTCATTAAAAAATGTAAAAGTTATAGCTATATTAAGTATATCAGTCATTTCACTCATATCACGCGCACGCACGTGCACGCGTATGCGCGCAAAATGACCTTCGTTCCGCACACCTACTTCCGTCCTGCTTTGACCGGAAGTGATGTCAACAAAAAGAAAGCTTGAGCTAAGTCGTCTCCATTGACTTTATAATTTCAATTTTGCTTCAAAACCTTCAAAATAAGCTTTTTTGGCTACTTCCAGTTTGACCAGACGAAAAATTAAGTTTATTGCCTTCAGTGATATATGTTACCCAAAAACATGTCAAGAACGGCAAAAATATGCACTTTCTGACGACTTCCGGTTTGACCGGAAGCGAAGTCGCCGGACGCATTTTGACGAATTCAATAGATTAAGCTTGACATTTTGAACAACTTTGCTTCTTTGACGTATTACAAATTCAAATATTTTTTTTAGATATTAAGGAAAATTTTTTGGACCCTCTCAGTCCTTAATTATAGGGGCAAGCCCCTTATCGTTGATATCCTTTGAAAGATTGTGATATTCTTCACAACTTTTGTTCTTAATGTCTTTACAAAATATTAACATGTAAAAAGATATTGCAGAAAAGGTGTGAAAATTTTCTAAATTCCCGATGGGACTTTTTACAAGCCATAGCGGGCGCTGACGTGCTGCACTTCTGGAGAAAGAGAGAGGTGTGTGTCACATCAGCACATGTAGCTCTATCATCACTGAAAATATTATGTTTCTGTCTTAAGCTCTTTTGAGAAAAATGCTGGTTAATGTGACCCTATGAAAATCACTAAATCACGGAAATCTACACTAAAGTCATCAATGGATTAACTTAAAATAGTCATCCGATTTTGGCAAAAATTGTACCGACTTATAAGCGGGTCAGTGGCAAATACCACCAAAATAACATCAAAAAATACAACCGACTTATAGGCGAGTATATACGGTAGATCTTATATATTGCCACTGAAGACAGACCTCTATCATCTTTACCATTAGAAATTTAGAATTGGTATGTCTTCCCTTGGAAGCGGAAGACCTCAATACAGATGTAAACATGCAAGATCTGACAAATATTTAAAAAGAACATTTATTCCAAATTAAACATATTAGATTTTGTAACAAAATCCATTTCTCTTGAAAAACTGAAAGCAATTGATATAATCATATTTGTGGATTTATGTCTGTTTCTCAAATCAAAATTTAAATATGATATATTTAAAATCATCTTCTTGAACTGAGACTTGATTCAGTTGATTGCTTCAATTTCATTCTGCTGTTTATTCTTTGTCATCTCCCAAAAGAGGCTCTTCTGGCAAATCATGATCATGCTTGGCATCAAATTTCAGTACTCAGATGACAGTCACACCTATCAAAAGAAATTGATTTTTTTTAAGTACAACTTATAAGATAAACCATCAAACTTAGTTAAAAGATACTGTCACTTTTCTGCATGTGTATTATTTGTAAAACTACTCTATAATCATTTATAAATTTAGGTTTACACGCAGTCATTTGAGGATGTAATAAAATAACATATTAGTTTTTCATGATTTCAAATAAAAGGTATGTACATTACTTGTTCATGTCAAAATTTATTAGAAATGGTAATGGTTAACAGTTGTTAACCGACTAATCAGTCAGAAAGATGGTATCGGGTTATGATGTTTTATGTGTCAGGATAAGGCCATTCGTAAAGGTGTTACAGCACATTGGGAACAATGCACTAATGAAGTGACAAAACAGCATCGCATAAGGAACAATGAGCAAGCGCAAAGTAACAATGCGGCTCTAGCTCATTTAAAACACCATGCTACTAAGTTTATGAAAGCATTCTAACTGTTTAAGACACTTACATGCTAGCGTGTAGTAAAAATGCGCTATCACGCTTATGACAATGAGCTAGTGTGTTAATGACAACACGGTGACAATGTACTTAGTGCGTTTGTAACCATGTTTCAGCAGGCTGTTTACACTACGCCATCAAGCTTACACATAATAGATTGTGTAAAGTTGTATTAGGCTATTCCAGGCTTTTTCTCTGTTTAGCTTTCACCCATCTTTCAAAAACCTACCTACCTATTTGCAAAAAAAAACACACAAGCCAAAACATAAAACACAGGGTTAAAAGTCATAAACATGACATCCTTCCAATGATTTGATCTAACTGAACTGCTTTAATAGAAGAAATGTCTATTCTTAAGCAAAAACAAGGGATTAAATACACCCAATATACACCCAATATAACTTACTGTACAGAATTATTTGGAGAAATTGACAAAATTGAACAATTTTGCCTAAATTAACCAATTTCAGGACTCCTGATGTTGTGTGTTTTTTCTTACATGGGGTGTTAAAAACCAAGGCGCACAGAGGACGCTAAACATAGAAAAAACTTGGAATGGCCTTAGCATGGCAGCATGTTGAGCGTCAGCACAACTGCATGTTGTTTTAAGTTGCCTTAGCCTAAAAGTGTTGAGAACACTGTGTTAGCACATTGTTCCTAACACGCTCTTGTACTTTATGCACAAATTGCCTTATCAGGACACCATTTAGTTTTCCATATATTTTAAAAAGACAGGGAATAAAATTCAATTTTCGATAAGCTTCTAATCATTGTAAGTGTTTGCCTAAGCGTTTTTTACTATATAACCCAAATACATCATTGTCTGTTATGGTAGCCTAGTGGTAGGGCAATTGCTATGTATAATCATGAAGACGGACTTGATTTAATTAATTCACTGCATCAAACCTATGACAAAAACATGTACTCAGTAATGTTCCTTAACCATGCACCCAACATTTGAAGTGAATGAGACTCTAAAAACCTCACAGTAGATGTTAGGATAATGACCCTGAGTTCCAAGTAAAGGTTCAAATGAAGCTATTCACCAGTATATATTAACATCTCTAAATGAGTGAATGAGTGAGATTCTCATGATAACATTATCAATCAAAGTATCAATAAGAAGCTGATCCTTACGTAGCAAGTTCCAGTCCCACTGCTATATGCTTCAGACAGGTTACTCCAAAGAGACTGTATAAACCAAGATTCTGTGTCACAGTAGGTGTGTAGGTGTTGGCACGAAAAGGATCCCTTACTTCTCAAAGGCAATAAGTGCTGAGTACAAGTCTATATTTGCAGCTTACTATCCCAAGTGGTGGCATCATAAAATGACTGAAAAATATTCGATAGACCAATTAACAAACAAACCATTTCTGCAGACTTATCAAAGAAAAAAAGCAAACTCTACTATTACATTTTTTTTTTTACAAATTTCTTTTGCAATTTAACTAAGAAACATACATATGACATAATAAAATATTTATTAAATTAACTGAGCAATATGTGTGCAATTTTTTTGTCAATAAATTATGATGCTAAATTTTTTTTCTGCAATAACTTTGGACCCACAGTGCTTAGCTTCTTTGAGCTACATTCAAGCTTTAAAGTGGTATTGTAGGCCAAACTTACACTACGACATCATGTAACTTTAGAGTCTAGTGCCCAGTTCAGAAGGAGAGTTAAATTCGCAGTAAATTATCGCGAAGTAAACTAATGTGAATCAACTAATGCGAATCAAACTGTGTTCAGATGACAGCTAATTATAATGCAAAGTAACCAAATGCGAATAAAAAACTTTTACTTCGACAGTCAGGCTTCAGTTAGGTTATTATGACATCATTTACAAATCATGTCACCTTAGGCATAAACAGATGTATTTGACATAATGTCACAGTGTCTGTATACACATTTTAGTGATTATCACTATTTTCCTTAGTTTTTCACTCAGAAATAGCACAAGTACTTAAAGCTGACCACCAACAGATAGCATTTGACTTAATTTTGCCATTTCACATGCCCAAAATTTAATTTGAATTAGCTTCCCTTAGTCATGTTAGTGTTCACAAGGAGCTAATGCAAAGTAATTTAATGCGCAGTAAATTAATTCGAATTAAACTAATTTGAATTGAACTCTCCATGTGAACAGGGCATCGATGCACCATATGTCTAGTGCGGTTTGACAAGCCCGATCTAAATTAAAACTGAATAAGTATCTGCCCTTACCGTACCCTAACAATTAACATCACACCCGTCAACATATTATTAGCTGAAGAACATTTTGTTTTGAATGCAAGTCTTGTTGAAATTACATGCTCACACATATTTAAATTAAATTTAAAGCTGTGGGGATTTTAAAAGGCTAACTGAGAGCGTCTGAACTGTAAAACAGTTAATATGTCGCTGTGTCTGTGTATTTCTAAAAATATCGACAGCTGATAAATGCTCTAAGCTGCCATAGTAATGTAAATTTTAGGTAAAAAAATTCTAACCTTCGAATTCATTCCCATGGTCCACGCCAATCATACATTAAAATGTCACCGTCAGCTCTTTAACCACTCGATACAATTACCACTGCAAGGGAGTTATACCTGTTTAAAGTTTCAGCCAATCAGATTGCAGTTCATGTACACGCACATGTATGCATGTGCATAGTGACCATACCTTCTTGTAGAAGTCCAGTATATATATCAATGTTCCAAATCGCATCCTGTTTGGTTGAAAACCAAGGGAGTTATGGCTGTTTAAAGTTTCAGCCAATCAGATTGCAGCGCACGTACACGCACGTGTATGCCTGTGCATGGTGACCATACCTTCTTGTAGAAGTCGATTATATATATCTATGTTCCAAATCTTATCCTGTTTGGTTGAAAACCAAGGGAGTTATAGCAATTTAAAGTTTCAGCCAATCAGATTGCAGCGCACGTACACGCACGTGTATGCCTGTGCATGGTGACCGTTACCTTCTTGTAGAAGTCGATTATATATATCTATGTTCCAAATCTTATCCTGTTTGGTTGAAAACCAAGGGAGTTATAGCAATTTAAAGTTTCAGCCAATCAGATTGCAGCGCTCGTGCATGCACGTGTTTTCATGATAATTGCTATATACCATGTTGTAGGATATCCTTATGCATGGCTATGTTCAAAATTTCAAAGGATTTCGTCAAAAAACAAGAAAGATATAGAGATTTAGTTTCAGCCAATCAGAGCAAAGCG